TGTAAAAAGCAGCCTTCTATTTTTTTTTTTTTTTTTAGAAATGCCAGAAGGCTTTATATAATTAGGAGAAGTGATGTGGCGATAACATTTCAAAAGTTAGGCAAACTGAAGAACCTTTCTCTGTGTGTGCGTCACAGCGCAGACAAAAATACACCGGCGGCCAAAATACTTTGAGGAGAATATGTAATCACGGTAGTGGACCCTGTTGATTGCACTACTGGTTTTCATAACCTTGTCTGTTTTTGAACTGCCATAATTTGCACTGCCATACCTACAAATCTAGTCAATTCTGTATCTGTATGTGACTTAAGTTCTGTCACTTTTTCATATTTATTCTTATTTATCTTATGTCTTACGACCTCATTGAGTTTCTGATTTTAGTTCTGGTTTAGATTTTTACTTCACTTCACTTTCATGCACTGTTACATTTTTACTTTTATACACTGGTTTTTCACTTTATGCACTGTCCATAGTTTCAATACATGGTCGTCTTCTATGCACTGTTTATATTCTTACACACGGTTACACTCCATTCCAATTCCACAATTTAGTGTTTATTGTTTTATTATTATTGTTTATTCAATGTTTACTAACACCACGGGTTTGAGAGTCTCGCAATTTCATTACTACATATGTCCTGTACATTTGCAGAATTGACAATAAAGCAAACTTTGAACTTTGTTGCACATTTCACAAGCGCTCTGTTAGGGCTCTAGAGGAGTGGGTTCTTGTCTGCAGGGTGAGCAAGTTCAGGGTTAAAGCAGCAGGGAGTTGGTATGTTAGGTAGCAAAGGTAATAGATTTGAAACAGTGGGCTGCCCGAGGAGAGTTATTGTGTGTTTTAAATGTGAAATGGATGACTGACTGACAGATGTCTGACTAACAGTGTGACATAGCTTGACTGCAGTGGCTCTCCAGATTCCAGACTGGTATTAACTCATCTATGCGCTGTTGGCCTGCCTCACTTTCAACAACCATAACCCCCCCCAGCTTCACCTTTCCCCTCGGAACTCTGCAAGTAAAGACATTTTTTTCAATATGAAAAAGCTTTAAACCCACAGTATACTACCTGCCCAGCACTAGAGAGCAGTGATAAAGTTAACTACCAAGTGAACACATGGAGCATTGAGGTAAAGAGCTGCATATTTCCCTCAGGAGTTGGTGGAGACCAAAGCAGAGCAAGAAAGTGAATACTGGCGTAGAGTTTTTACCAGGGACATGACTTTGGATGAATGCTGATGATATTCAGTCCCTGCTGTGTGTGTAAACATGCAACTGCTTGCTAGGATATTCTCTCCACTTAATCTATTTTATTAGGTGATCAAATGTCAGCAGCTCGTTGTGCTGCCCCAACATGTCCAAAATTGCTGGAATCAGTGAAACTTATGAACTGTAATTAGTAACATAAAAGGACATTTTTCATGTTGCATGTGAAAGTCAATTTATTAATATTAATAGAACATAGCATGCTCTTCTATGATGTCCGCTTCAGCTTTCAAGATACGAGACTAAGTCAATTTCAGCTAGCTAGCAGAAAAACAGCTGTTAATCAAATGAAATGGAAGAGACTGTAAAGTAGCACTTTGGGTAATGTAGGATCAAAGGTCTTATTGGCTTGACTCATACTAGGAGACTAAAAGCTAAAAAGAAATTGAACGCATAATAATACAATATTGACAGAGACAGGCTTATTGCAATGTGTTATCCACAGATAAAGGACATTTGGAATGTCTAAGACAAAGAAGTCAGCTGTCAACTTATATAAGCCACAGTGTGGATTTAAAAGATGATAGAAAATCTGAATGGCTTCAAAGAAAGCAACTCTTTCTGAGATTCTTCTTGCTGTTTCTTAACTCACATGGCATTAACACATGTTGCAAAGGTCGGCCTGTTCACCCGAAGGCAAAAAAGATTTATCCTTGACGTTTCCCAAAAACTGATCAATGCTAAGGCCAAATCACAGAAGGAAGTGAGAACGTGGAGCACAGAGGAATGAAAGTATTTTTAATATCAGTGGTTTTCCTTCGATGCACTGGGGAGCACTGTTGTCTGTAACCTTTTTAGAAACAAACGAGTGGGAATTCAGCTGGGACTTTCCTTACTTCCTTTATGGAGAGTATGTCCGCCGTGAGGTACACTAACACTGCCACCACAGATTCCCATCTCTAAGATAGCTCTGCTTTGCAGATCCAAACAAAGATGTTCTTGTGCAAATGGAGGAGGGAGACGATCATGTGCTTGATATTATCTGTTTATGAAGTGGTTATACAGTGGCCTTCTATGTTCCAACCGGCAGGGTTGACCTCAGCAGTCTTGTCATCTCACTGTTATTTTGTATTTCCAAAGAACCTGGAAGCTAACTGTGGGTCTGAATGTTGTGACATACAGAAAGGCAAGGGCAAGCTATCGTCCTTTGCTGCAAATGTTTTATAGCTTCAGTTCATATCTAGGAAAACTATTGTATATCTTATACATTCAGCATAAACTCAGTCGGTGATTGTTCACCACAACTTCGAGGAATAAAATAAGCAGCTCATTGAGAAGAGAGCAGCAATGAAGAAAATGATCAGTGTTGAATCATTTGAGGAAGCAGCTATTAATGTTTGCTGGTGTGACACAGTGGACAAAGTGTAAAACTCCTCATACAGTCAGACTGAACTGACTGGATTACCAGGAATGAATGGATACGTAAATTAATGATTTATTTATTAACATGATTAAAAACTCATAAAACACAGCACTACAGTAATAACATAGGCTACATAGGAAATTACAATCATAAAAACACAGTAAAGCCCAAAAGCTTATTTCCTTTTTTGTCCTCATCACTTTATACAACACAAGATGAAAAGTAGACAGCAAGTGAAGACTAAACAATCTACATATGAAAAGCAAATAAATAGAAGATGGCAATTGAAAACACAACAATGGTGTTTCCATTTCTGAAAGGTGATTTTATTCATGCTGTGTTTTTCCACTGTGCCGCTCCACTGTAAAACATTTTTTTTGCTCATGACAACTAACACATAAAGGTTTTGTATTTAAATGTAAAGCTACCTCATGTAAATTGTTGTGTTGTGTTGTGTTGTGTTGTGTGTTTGTCTCTAGTAGTAATAATTGGTGTTTTGGTACCCTATACTTGATAAATTCATCAGTGAGAAAGTTATCTTAATACCATTAACCATTTAAACTTTTTGAGATATGTTTGAGAATGGACTTTTACCCATGTCAATTTATTTTAATGGTGTTGTGATAATCCAATGTACCAGGAGATGGCAGCCTTATCAAAATGGCTTTGAAATACTGCTCCAGCTAATAATGTGTGAAGAATTGAGCTGTTCAGAAAATAAGCTTTTCCGGCTACAGACTTTATTTATCTCGATGAAGGATTTAAAAGCCATATATTTGTCTGATGAGGAATAATGCAGCAAAGAACATTTACATGAAGCCCTCCAACTTTATCTTCCCAATCTGTTAACTACACTATTTTTCTGATTCTGGTAGTTTTATTTTAAATTCACTCTCTGTCTGAAAGGAACACTGTCTGGTACTGCCTTTCCTGCACACAAGGAAATCACAGACCAGACCCTTCTCATTTGTGGTTCCCAGATTCTGGAACGAGCAGCTAAATGCTGTTAGAGCTGGAACATCCCTCTCCACTCAAGACCCTCTAACACAGGGGTTTCAAACATACGGCAGGGGGTCCAAGTATGAAAATAACAGAAAGACATAAATTGCATTTCTATCAAAGTAACTACTATTCTTAATCAGTCCACTGGGGGCTGCACTGTAAAACAAGTAAACCTGTGACTAAATGTTTTGTTCTGTAGATCATCTGTGATCTGAAGTTGTAATGCACATGTGTAAATGACAAACTGAAGCACAGTATTGATGAAATTGCACATATGTTTCTTAATAAATTTCAAGGGTTGTGAATCAGAATGTCTCTTAAGAATATGAAGGTTTATGAGTACAAACGTTTTGTCATTTTTTAAATCAATCCAGTAATTGCTTCAAAAACAGCGTAAATGCGATGTCTGCTCCGGGGGCAGAAGCGCCCGCTGCTCGCTATGTGACGCGAGAGAATCTGCAGAGGAGAGCCCAGGCAGATAAACTGTAGGCTGATGTCTGAGTTTTTGGTCTTTATGTTTCTAGTTTATTGTAGAAACACCTTAAAATAGGGTTTATCATCCAAAAACCTTCACCAATGATTTAAATATAGAGAAATATTGTTGTTATGTATGCGTTATGATGCTATGATTTTACTGGTCGGGCGCAGTTGAGATCAAAGTGGGCAGTATGTGGCCCCTTAGCTAAAATGAGTTTGACACCCCTGCTCTAACACACTGCCCCCACCCTAACTGGCACTTTAGATGCAGATTCAGTACTTAATGTACTTAGTATTTACTTTAAAGTCTCGAATTGTCCCTAAGTTGTAAGAGGGTAATACATTTAAATCTAAAAAAAATGAGATTAGAAAAAAGATTAAAGATTAAGATTAAAGATTTAATATACAGGCCTAATATAAATGGCCCATCATGAAAAACAAGAATAATCATACTGAACTAACAGTTTTTACAAGTAACATCTTATACATAACAGCAGCTTACAATCTTTTTTACATACAGTAAGATGAGAAGATCTTTACCACTTACATGAATATGAAGCTTCTGCATGCAGTCAATTAGCTTAACATGGAACAATGAGTGGAAACAGTTAAAGGTACAGTGTGTAGAATTTTGTGATATCTAGTGTTGAAATTGCATGTTGCAGCTGAACACCCCTCACCCTCTCCTTCCAAACATGAAAAAGAAACTGTGGTCTTCAGTTGTCATAAAATTGTTTAGTTTGTTCAGTCTGGACTAATGTAAAAAAAACATGTCGGCCTCCGTAGAGAGGGTCCCCTCGATGTAAATATAAAGTATTTAAATATAAAGGGCCTTTTCTGGGGTAAAGAAAACTACAATTCATACAATTTAGATGAAATGAACTAGTGAAAACATCATGAGGATTATTCTACATTAAATTTCTGCCAATAGTTTCCTTTCACCTAAATCTTACACACTGGACCTTCAACCCGGCTATATATACAGAACATGGCTAAATAAACAACATGCTAATGAAGGAGCATTAGCTTCTTTACAATCTTTGTGCTAAGCTAACCAGCCACTGGCTGAAACTTTATATTCATAAATATAAGTGATATGTATCAATTTCACAAAGAAAGCTAATTTACACATTTTCTGAACTTTTTCTTTTAACAGTACATGCACCCAACACTTTCCTCCAGCTTATTACTTTGCATAAAAGGTATACAATTAATTTTTTTTGTAATAGTTATAATACAGAGTGAACAAAAATCAGTAGTACAAAACAAAACAATCCCAATTAGTTTAAAGTAAACATATACCTATCCAGTAGACAAACTGTGATTTGTGAATATGGGCTATACAAATAAAATAATAATAATGATTGATTGATTGATTGATTAAAACAGTGACAAGAACACAATTACAAACACTGATAATGAAAATACAACTGTGGTAATTACAATCTTAACATTGCCACAAATAATTGATAATTGATAAAAAAAAAGTTCACAATTCAAGGCAAAGACAATCCAAATAAAAATAAATATTACAACATAATCCACGATACATTAAATACATTGATAAACTGTCTATTTAAATTGTCATTTGACAGGTAGCATAATTGGTTTAAACTCTTTCTGTTTCACGTCATCTAACATCTGTTCCTCTCGACTCTCGTCATCCTGAACTCTTTCCTGTAACATATCCCAACATTGATGTCTGACCGCCTCCTGTCTGGTGTCAATGAACTGGCTTTCGGGTGGTTTCTCTCAGTCTGTGGGCTTGTGACGGGCCTCGGTCTGGCTGTGTGCGGCAAACCTGTCACTTATTAGCACGGGTGGAAAGGCGGTTGCGGTAACTCTCTCCAGAGAAAAAATACAGCAGCGGGTCGAAGCACGAGTTGGCAGCAGCCAGGCAGTGTGTCACCACTATAGACTTCAGCAAGTCACTATTGCAGGTGGTGTTAGTCTGGGACAGATTGACAGCGCGCAGTATGTGGTAAGGCAAGAAGCTGATCAAGAATGTCAACAAGACAATAACAATCATTCGAATGGCTTTGGTACCCATGGCCCGCTGCTGTTTTTGAGCAGTGAGGGTGCGAGACAGTTGGGTGCGAGACAGTAGGGTGTGGATTATGCCGGCATAGCAGAGCAGGATCACCAGAAATGGCAGGATAAAGCCTATCACCAGAGACAAATAGTTCATCACAATGACTCTTGACTGAACATTAGCTGACCGAGGCTCGAAGCACTTGGTTTTATTTGGGTTAGATTTATCTTCACCTGACATGAGGAAGGGAGATGATAAAAGACAGATGAACACCCAGATGGCAACACACACCTGGCGGGCACGCTTCACTGTCATCAGCTGCAGGTTCTGCACAGGAAAGACAATGGCCAGGAAACGCGTGATGGACATGGCGACCATGAAGTAAATACTGCAGTAGAGGTTAACATAGAGGGTGTAGGAGCTGATGCGACAGAGGAAACTCCCCATGCTCCAATGGCCCATGACATAGTAGATAATTCGCAGTGGCAGCGTCATCACAAAGAGCAGATCAGAGATAACCAAGTTAATCATGTAGACATGGAAAGGGGAACTCTGGCGGTTCGTCTTGATCAGCAACACAAGGGCATAACCGTTCCCAGTGAGGCCCAGCACTGTGATGATGGTGTAGGATGTGATGTAGACCTGGTTGCGGAAGTCATAGATGGACGTGCAGTTGGAGGAGTTGCTCCACATGCTGTCTGTCAGATTTAGCTGCGCCTAAACCTCCTCCTGCTGGGACAGAAATAAAAAACATGATGCTGCAAAACACTTCCTGCAGTGTTGACATGTGGCAGGAAACTGATGTTGATAAACATTTACATCTTCATACCGTACCATGACATCTGCTCCTCTGATGTTTTCTAATCACTTCCACACTGATCTTTATAAAAACCTACTGAATTCATAGTTATGTTCCTGGATAAACGGGGTGTCGCTTCTTCTGCAACAATGAAGTTAAAACACAGAGTTATGTCATCTTCATAAAGAACCTCTGTCTGCAGGACAGTGTGTGTGTGTGTGTGTGTGTGTGTGTTCCTGTCTCTGTCCCTCTTCACACAAACTAAAAATCACATGATTATGTTCTGTCACACACTCGATGCAGTCGTCCTCCTCTTTGTAGAAGTGCAAACATTAGCACGTGTGCTGCTGCTTCTACACTGTGCTGTATGAGTCAAACTAACCTGATGTGGCTGTAACTCTACTAGGGTGTTATATCACCATAATTAAAGAGACAAGTTTATTGCCCAGCCCTACTGTCAATGATAAAACCAGCTAAACTGCAACCTCCTGCACCTTATTATAAACTTTGCTGTGTAACTGTGAGGCACTTTGTATTGAAGAATTTGTCTAATGAAAGTTGAAATCATTAATTAATACTCCTATCTGTCTTTTGTTTGAGAAAGATAAAAGGCAGCATCAAAAATAATGAAAGAATTTAAACTGCTCAAACATTGAATAGCAACTCAGTACATTACAGTTACATGCTTTACTTTACCTTTTCTGTTTTCCCTTGAACAAAAGCAAAAAGAAGTTGTTCCTGTCTGCTGTCAGGTCAGTTGATCGTCTCTGCTGCCTCAGATCCCGTCTCCTCCGCCTCTCTGACTTCTCTGCCAGATGCTGCTGCAGTGGTGGGAGGACACTGCAGCAGGTGGCTGCCTCTTCACAGCCCTCAGCTGTTGTTTGGATACTTATTCAGAGTAGGACGTCTCTTTCTGTGTTGCACAACAACATTATTAGACATCACTGACAACAAAGCCACACAACTATGGGAAAGGCTTTAAGTTCTGCTCTATGCTCAGGTTACTTTAATGCTCTCACTGATTCTATTCCATTAATACATTTTCCTAAATTAATCCTATCCTCAATTTTGTAGGCACCTACTTGCATCTACAAACCTACTTGCTTCAATTTCCCCACATTTTTCCCTTCTCATACTTGGATATTCTGTTGTATTTTCATCCCTTGTGTACACAAAACCTTGTGTAACACAAAAACATGTAAAATATAACAAACTAAAACAAAAAGACAGACAATGGCAACGCCCCAAATAGATCTCTATAAATTCTGATTTTCTTCAAATAGCAAAGAATCACAGTAGTTATCATATACGGTTACATTACATTACTAAGAATATAAAAAAATTTGTAGTCCTTGTGTTTTTGTGTGTGATGAGGACCAGGGGCGTAAGCACAAGATTCTAGGCCCTATACACAAGCAGTCTCTGTGAGCCCCCTTCCTCTCTTCATGATGTCCCTCATGCATTTATATTTTTTTCTACAAATACATGACCATTCAACTGCACAAATGAATCTATAGTGGGGCACACCACCCTCTTGGCTGGAGAGAGACCCACCATACCGGAGAAGCTAAAGAGGAGATGGCGAGGCTGCAGAGCGGGAGTTAAACGGAAGTTGGAGAAGAAGTTTAAGCCCTTCATCCCTGCAGTCATCACTGGAAACATGAGATCGTTGGCAAATAAAGTGGGCGAACTTGAAGCGCTCGCCAAGACACAGAGGGAGTACAGAGAGTCTAGTATCATGGGTTTCACGCAAACGTGGCTGCACGAGCAGATATAGGACTCCAACGTCACCATTCCCGGCTTCCAGAGGGTTCGAGCCGACAGAGAAACCACCGCGACCGGCAAGAAGAAAGGAGGGGGCCTTGACGTGCTCGTGAACAACAGGTGGTGTCACCCCGGGAACGGCTCTGCAACCCGGACATCGAGCTCGTCGCCGTCGGACTTCGTCCATATTATTTGCCGAGGGAGTTTACCAGTGTCTTCGCCATCACTGTTTATATTCCTCCATCTGGAAACGCAGAAGCAGCGTGTGACGTCATCCACACTGTGACTGCTGGATGACAAACACAACACCTTGGGGCCCTCGTCATCATCACAGGTGACTTCAACCATGTTTCTCTCTCATCCACACCCTCAGACCACAACCTAGTCCTACTCTCACCATCATACAAGCCTGTGGTTCAGCAGCACCCAGTCACAGTAAGGACAGTGAGGAATTGGACTCCTGAGGCCATGGAAACACTGCGTGGAGAGCTGAAGGCCACAGACTGGGATGCTCTGTATGAGCCACATGGTGAGTACATTGATGGCCTGACTGACTGTGTCTCTGAGTACACTGGGTTCTGCATAGACAATAGCATCCCCACTAAAGAGGTCCGCTGCTACCTAAACAACAAACTGTGGGTAACCAGCGACCTGAAAGCCCTTCTCAACGACAAGAAGAGGACCTTTAGATCAGGGGACAGAGCAGAACTCAAATGGGTACAAAGGGAACTAAAACGCAGCATCAGGGAGAGCAAGGACAACTTCAGAAGAAAACTGGAGCACAAAATGGAGGACAACAACACCAGGGACGTCTGGAGTGGGATGAGAGAGATCACCGGCTTCCAGAGGAGAGGTGGGGGTGCAACTGAGGGGAATGAACGACGTGCCAACGAGTTGAACCTGTTTTTCAAAAGGTTCACCTCCAACCTCCCCACCCCCGGTGGCCCCCATACTACCTCTACTGCTTCTCCGAGCAACAATGTTCTTGGACTTCTCCAGCGCCTTCAACACCATCCAGCCCAGACTGCTGAAGGCCAAACTGGAGAACACACAGGTGGGTGCTCCCCTCGTCACTTGGGTCGATGAATATCTGAGGGGCAGACCGCAGTTTGTGAGATGAAAACAGAACTGCGTCTGATCGTCTGATCAGTAACATCTGGGCCCCCAGGGAACTGTAATGTCCCCCTTCCTCTTCACCACATACACTGCTGACTTTAAGCACTGCACTGAGTTGTGTAATCTGCAGAAATTCTCTGACAACACGGCCATTGTGGGGTGTGTTGAGGGCGGGAGGGAGGGAGGCTGAGTACAGGGACCTGGTTGACCACTTTTGGAAGTAGTGTGGGGAGAACTCCGCTCCAATACTGAAACATTTGCTTCATCATATGTGATATGTGTTGATATTAACCCTATTGATATTTTATATCAT